CTGGATATTACATATTTCCGAAGATTCGACTCCAATCCCCATATGTACTTTCTCACCCCGCTGTTTTCAGATATAATATAGGCTTCAGCAAACCTAGATTGTTCCATGAAAACTTCTGTATACTGGCGAACCGACATGTTTCCTTGTTCAAGACGAAGGAAATCATCTTCCAACTTTCGAATTGCAGCTTTAGGACATACTGCATCTTAAACTTTACCATAAATTCTTCCCAAACCATAGTTTTTAAAATATTCGGGTCCGAACTAGACAGAACTTCCCACCAATACAAAGCACTTGATCTCAAACGAGATACAGCAAACATAACTTTATCTTCTTCTGCACTTTTACTGATTTGCAGACTCAACTCAATTTTCTTAAGCCAGCACATAGCTTTAACAGGATCACGTTCACCAGAAAATTTTGGAGGTTTACACGCAAGAAACATCTTGATATCTCCTCCTTTTTGTACTGAGGACGAAGTGAGGGGTACAGATGTACCAGTTACCGGTGTACTAGCTCCGGCTTCCTCCTGATCAGAATTTCTTACCACCTTTGGATCAGTTTGGTTTGTATGTTTCAACAAATTTACCAAATTCTCCTGAAATTTTCCCAGCTCAGCTGCTAACATTTCCTGAGTAATATATTCAGGGTCAGAAACATTTTGTCCACCTCTCGCTCTTCCTCGTCCTCGGCCAAACATTGAACTTTCTTGAACCGAAAATTCCTGGTCCCCACGAGTTTTTTGTCTAGTTCCTTGCCCTCTTCCTCGTCCTCTACTACGACTTCGCGTTTCAATTACATTTTCTGGATTCTCTTCTTGCGTAACATTCTTTCTTCCACGACCTCTTCCATAATCAACAAAGGTTCTTTTAGACTGATTGGGATTATCTGTCATTTTCTCAATACGTAMCCTTTTCTGTCACATTTAAACACACATGATTATTCTCATAATCATAACATAGTAACACATAGCACATTTATCCTCATGTCTATTCATAACTCAGATTATATCAATCATATATAATCTACCTTTCTCATAATAGTTTCAGCTATAACATATTCTCATGTTCATAGACCCAGTGAAACCTATTATCTTAACTTTTCACACCACTAGTTTAAGTCTAAGTATTTCGCAAATACCCAGATCCCTTAAACTAAGGCTCTGATACCAACTGTAACAACCCTCACATCTCAAATACATATAATTCACATCATCATTCTCATAATACTAGAATAGTATTATCACAAAACATGAACTATCAAAATGTATCTTTAATACATATGCATAATAAGCTAATATCAACAATTAGACTTTTCCCTTGCCTTTATCTTTCAGAGCACGCTGTCCTGCAAAACAGGTTAATCCAACAT